ATCCATCCATCCATCCATCCATCCATCCATCCATCCATCCATCTTCTTTACCTGCTTCTTCCTTTTCGGCTCGTGGGGTCACTGATGCCCATGTCCAACCATCACTGTGTGAGAGGCACCCTGGACAGGTCTCCAGTCCATCACAGGGACACATAGAGACAAATGAGACAAACAACCAGTCACTCTCTCACTCACAACTAGGGACAATTTAGAGTTACCAATCAGTCTAACATGCATGTTTTTGGTATGTGGGCAGAAACCAGAGTACCCAGAAAAAGTACACGCTTGCACAGAGAGAACATGCAAACTTTACCCAGAAAGGTCCCCGGCCGGGATTTGAACCAGCGACCTGCTCGCTGTGACGTGGCAGCTATACCAGCTGCGCCACCATGCCGCTCTGTTTTGAACCCATACATTTATAAAAAATGGTGGTATAAATCTATTTTTGTTGTTTGTGACATGTTTATTGGCCTAAACATGTCCTGAAATTAAAAGTTTTGTAAATGTCTACATAATATTTAAGTAAATCATGGTATTGCACCATGACGCTATGAAACGACAACATTAGAGCAGTGCTATATCCATTACCAAACTAAGCCTGCCCTGTTAAACTTACTGTCACCTGCTGATCTGAAGGAAATCACGCTTTCAGTGCTGCTCCATGTTTTTACATGGTCAGGACTGTAGATATGCATCAGCTGATCACTTTCAGAGAGTTTCAGTAAAGTCTGTTGAGTGTTTCAAGAGATATTTTGGTGACAGACTGAAAGAATATGATGTTTTTGTCCATTCCTGACTGCTTGTGTCTGTCTGTTACCAAAACATATCATAAACTACTGGAGGAATTTGAATAAAATGCTTAAAGAAGTCGTTAGATGTGCATTTACAGCTAGTGAACTCATGAAGTCAACCCATTTCAAGATGGCTGCCACAGCCAACTGACTTTAGAAAACACATGACGCTATAACTCAGTCAGCTTGACAGATATTGTGCTATAATCGCTGTGGCTGTAGCTGAGACTCATACCCGACTCATACTCTGAGCTTGATGGCTCGTGATGTTGCATGATATCACTCATATTATTTTTAACTCTCGTCATGTCACAACATGAGATAGTTTTAAGTTTGGCATGAAATGTGGTGGGCGATAAGCATTCCTTCAAGGGATGCTTTAATTAAGAAAACATTTGATGAAGCTGCAAGACAAGTAGAGTGTGGAAAATTACTCCTAAATCTTAACCTGGCATTGTTCTGTTGCAGGTAAGATGATGCCTACCTTACTTGCTGTGCGTCATGCACTGAGTGTTGTTTCTGCCTTCTGCTGCAGTCTGACGATGGGCCAGCTGTACGATAAGGAGAAGGACGAGGACGGTTTTCTCTACGTGGCCTACAGCGGAGAAAACACCTTCGGATTCAGGGCCCAGGGTTAAAACATCGCTGAGTCTTCCCCTCACACGCAGCAGATCCGTTTGGGCCCGACAGAAACGGGTGCACAGCTCGTTGAACACCGGCCTTTACATCGTCCTAGTGCTTCGTTTCAGTTTTTGATACTGAAAAACCTGTTTTATTGTTATAAATTAACATTTTTTCTCTCGTCAGGCTCAGATGCTTATATTGAGCTTAACGGTAGTTATTTTGTCATCGTTGCTGATCCGATATGGAGAGAAAAATCTTGAAACACTGCCGTAAAATCTGATTATCACGACACGGTACAGGCACATCAGGCATGAATTTCTCCATTTTTAGACGAAAACAGGACAAATACGCACCAGTTAAGACTGCACCCATCTTCAGTTTTCTTTATGGCGTTTATGTTTATGTTCAGCCAAAGCGAGGAAAAGTCTTTTGTGTTACAGAACGTCAAGTCTTTAGTCACATGAAGTGTTATCATGTGGAAAAAGGATAACTGAAGCTTTCTAAACGCTGGAGACGGCAGCTCAGGGTTAAGAACCGGACTGGGAATCACTTTATGCGCTTTTGTGTTTTTGCATATTCCATGTTAGCCAGATTCAGACTTGCAGAAAAAACACGAGCATTAATTATTATTTTTTACTTGAATTGTATGAACTGTGATATTTATGTGCTGCGATCACAACGGCACAAATGGCATTCCCTAAATTTACGAGCCAATGGTGACTTTTTATGATACGAGAACGTCATTGGCTCCTAATAAGTCCTTCATAGCGTGCAATCATTAAATATTTAATTCAGTCATTAAGGCTTTAGAAGTTGTATTTCTGCTTCAGATTATGCAAAGAGTAGAAAAGGTATTCACTTTTTTTGTTGCACTATTCTCAGTATTCATATTAGTACTCGGTGTGTTCATTTATTCATTTGAAAGGAGTTTCACAGAATAAAATGTCTAAAATCAGATCTGTTTCAAAGTCTTTTATTTAAGTTGGATTTGAGATTTTATGTAGGCATGCTGTAGACTTCCTGTCCTAGCTGTGTGTTTAATAATCGTAAAACATTTTCCGTTGTGTTTGATTTGTATAATACAAGCTGCATAAATAAAGTTTGATCGATTTAAAAACATGCAGTTTGATTCACAATTCTGTATTTTATATTGATTTAAATCCGTCCAGCCATTGATTTTTTTTGTACCTGATTAATCCTATAATACTGGGTAATTCTAATTATCTAGTATTTTATTTGTGGTTCTTGTAGTCTCAAAAATGATACTTATAAGGCAAAATTTGACATCTTAAAGCACCCTAACTATAGATCCATCAAATGAATGCTGCTTCTTCAAAAACTCACATATGTAAAAAGGTTCCCAAATTTTAAATAGATTTATATAACAAATGATCAGATAATATTTATTATGGAGAAGAAAACTCTTAAACAACGGTTGAGTTTTTATTTATTTTCTCTCATATAATTTTAATATGAGTAAAGAAACGTCGAGAACAGAGCTGGACCAGATGAGAAAATTAAAGAATATGTTCCAGCGATGATTAAAGCCAAATTTTATGCATCCTTTAAGGACTGGTGGTTTAATGACAAACTCCAACATGGATATTAATGTTAAAAATAAAACTAAAGCTGAGAAACAGAACTGCTGTTTTCATATTATTACTTTAGTTATTCCATCTTTTTTCATCAACCTTTAAAGTGTTTGCCTACATTTCCCAGAATGCCTTTCTACAAGCTCAATGGCCTGCAAGACGCAGCTCTGGCTAAGATCTAAATTTAAATAAGAGTTCAGATTTTTTTCTCTAAAAACATGAAATGGGGACAGGATTCAGCTCCTTCAGTGAAACTTCACATCAGCAAGAATCATGTGAGAAATTTAACAACTTTATGACATATTTATTCATTTTTTTGTGTGTTGTTATTTATCATAACCAGATTTATTTTATTGACTGCAGCTGTAGTTTTTGGAACCTTGTTAGGGAAGTCGCACACCTCAAAGCTAATTAAGATTCATTTTCCTTTAAACATTGTTGATGTGTAATATGTTGATATTCAGGAATGTCATCCAACACTTTATGAACAACTAATATGTTAAAGACATGAAGGGATTTTAGATGTATAAAAAATATAATGTAGCCATGAAATCTAATCAATAAAAACAGCTAAAATCTGATTTTAGTCTCTCTTAAATATAAAAAATGTGCTTTTCTTTCATTTTAAATTAAACATTGAGTTTGTAGAAAATACTTACTGGTCTTTAGGAAAAAAAAAAAAAACATGAAATGCAAAAGAGCATTTTGTTCTTCCAACCAAACTGGTTTATTTGTATAAATTTAGTGATAGAAAGTTAAAATGTTGGAATGCATATCACCCACTGCCTTTCCTGCCACTTTTAAACTGAGATCATCTTGTGTTGAGAAATAATGGCGTTACAAACATTTTGTGTTCAGATTATTGGTTTTAAACGACTTTCAGCTACTACCACATTAAATCTGATCTGGTAAACTGAGTAAAAGCCACTTTTATGTTGGTTAATGTCGATTAGTTGAAGCCATCTTGACTGGACTGACTCTAAAAGTTAAATAGTTGTAGATGTACACCCAAAGACTCCTGTGAGCAAGTTTTATTTAAATTCAACCAGTGGTTTGTGAGATATTTTCTTAACAGAACTCAGGTGTTTTAAGAAAAATCACAACAAAAGTCCCTTCGTATAAAGTCCTGGTGCAGTCAGCTAAATGAAACTTTAGGCAAAATTAATGTGTTTACTCAAATGTTAAATATGTTTTAAACACATTTCTTTCCCCACTCATTGTTTGTGGCTCGTGTTTACAACAAATAGAAATGGTCAAACTTGGCTTGTTCATGGAAACACAACTAAAATCAGTTAACGGTAAAGCGCAGCGTGCTGCTGAGGGTTAGCAGGATAAATAATGTAGCATCTGTGGCGTCGAGACAAAAGCACGAGTTCTCAGTCCTAACGGGAAATTTAGCGTCTGGTGACCAGCGAAGGGCTCAACTGTTCATTCTTTGTCGTAATAAATGAGAATGTGGCTCAGACAGGACGGGATTCACAGACGGAGGCAAAAACGTCCAGTCCAGCCGTGTTTCCAAACACGAGCAGGCAGCTGCGCCCAGCGTGAACCGTACAAATAAAGTCATGACGTCGCCGTCGCCGAGCAGCGGGACGGCGCAGAGTCCTGCTGGGGAACGCTGAAACATCCTGAGCTGCAGCGCAGCTGAGCCAACAGACATGAAATAATCAACGGAGCCTCAGCATTTTATTAAAAGTCCTATGAGAGTCTGTGAAAGTCATCCCGGGTTTGAAACGAGACGTTTACAGCTTCACCATCTGATGAGAAAGACGATACGTGCTGGTTGATGGTTATTTTCACCTGGCCACCTCCAGGTTTCTGCTGCAACAAAGCCCGTTTTTCATGGCGCCTGACAAGGACATTCCTGCTGCGGGGTCAGCTTTCAGTGAAAGAGGAGCAGGTTTCTGTCGCTGCGAGGCCACCGAGGGAAAGCCTGAGTGCGCAGCTGCTGCCAGGCCTGCTGGTACCGCCGAGACGCCTGCTTGTAATCCCAGTAGGTCTGCAGCTTTGCTGACCTGAACACATATAAAACCAGAGTCAGGAGGGGGGAAATGATGGAGCCATTAGTGTTTTTGTGAGCAACACAATCAAAAAACACGTGCGCATTTACATTTGACGACTGATCTGAAGCGCTGCAGCCACTGTATTGACCGGTACCTTTAAATGAAGATCATATCATCATATAGATCAATACTCTGGTATTTGAGTCGGAGTCGGGTCTGGAGGAGCAGCGGTTTGAGCAGGGAGGCCCACACCTCTCTCTCCACATCCACCTCAAAGGCGTTCCCAGGCCAACCAAAACATAGTCTCTGCAGAGTTTCCTGTCTTTCTCTGGGTCTCCTCCCAGTTTGAAATGCTCGACAAACCTCCCTAGGGAGGCGTCATGGGGGCATCCTTACCAGATGCTTGAACCACCTCAACTGGCTCCTCTCGATGTGGAGGAGCAGCGGTTCTACTCCGAGTCTCTCTCGCTCTTTCGGTCACAACCCAGAGTTTGGGACCACGTTTGAGAGTAGGAAAGTAAACCGACCGATAAACACAAAAGCTTCATCTTGTAGCTCAGCTCTCTCTTCACAACAACGGACCGGCGCAGAGTTCACAATACTGCAGAAGCTGCATCGATCCGTCTGACGATCTCACGCTCCATTCTTCCCTCACTCGTGAACAAACCCCCCCAAGATACTTCCACCCCTCCACTTCAGGTCGTTCTCTTAGTTTCTCGTTCAGTTAAAAAGTTTGGATCTCAAGGAAATATTTACTAATATATATATAAGAAGAACTTCCGAGTTACTGATGTGTTCGAAAATCTTATAGCGTGCTGACGTTTGGTTTTCAGGTGTGGAACAGAGAGAGTGTGTGTGCTTGTGTGTGTGTTGTGCAAACAGAAGGCTGGATCAGGTTATGCGTCGAAACACAGAAGGACCTCTGTTGCTCCTTCAGAGAGGATTTCAGATCCGCACACACTCATGAGCGCACACAAACAGGGAGAATTGTGTGGTCATTGTTTCACAGGATGTTTAGTTTATATACGGTAAATCTATTTCCTGGGCATAAAACCAAGTCATGGATGGAGTGGGGCAGGAGGTGGCTGGGTGGTGTAATTTAGGTACAAGTTGCTCTGTAAAGTTTTATTTTATCCATGTTTGTTAGAACAGAGGATACAAAGTTAAAGTGCAGGAAGAAGAAAAATAGTAAAGCAAATATGAGCAAAACATGACTAAAGCACTAGCAGTGAATCCTTCATTTGTATTTAGATATTAAAATATAATAATGCCCCTCCAACTCATAAACTGTGGTTATATGAACTTACATCATGCTTGAAACTAGAAAAAATAAGGTGTTCTCTTCAGCACTCTACTGGGAAATTTAATAAAATATGGGACCCCTTTCTTGATACATTCCAAGATATACAATAATATTTCAGATTATTTTTAAAAAATTATTATTAAAATGTGCGCTCCCTTTTTGTCAGGTCACCTTTTTGTCAAAAACAACATAAATCAATAAAAACACATTTGTAATTAAACTGCTTGGGTTGTTTAAGTTTGATCTCTCAGGTTCAGTGTTGGTTCTGTCAAAACCACAGTTATAATAAAGTTTAAAAATGAGAATAAAACTTGATTTTCTTGACTTCATCTCTAAATTTATTTTGTGTCCATTTTGTTGACCAACTAAGAAGAACGTCACTCTGTTCTTATCACTAATAAGAGGCAAACTAAAACAAGAGCCCAGACTCACACAACTATTACCGTACTTTCTGCCGTACACGTCACACCGCCGTATAAGTCGCAACTATTATGCGTCACCGCTGACAACCCGGAAACGTGGGCCGGTGTTGTGCCAAAAATCGATAAGCTGCCAAATGACGGCTACGAGAGCGTGCACGGGAGAAGTTTAACAAGATTAATACTTAAAAACAATTATTTGTTTGCTTGAAATTATAGCAAAGGTGTGTCTCAGTTGAACTTTTCCTTAATAAATGCACTTTGACGGTCAAAACAGTTGCATTTCAAAAATCGATTTGTGGCTGCTGGAGAGTGTAGAGGGAGGACTCGCTGTGCATTTCTTTGAAATTTACCAATATAACCACCTAAAAACAATTATTTGTTTGCTCAAGATTATAGTAAAGGTGCGTCTCAGTTGAACTTTTCCTTAATTAATGCACTTTAATGGTCAAATCAGCTGCATTTCTCCTGGGCAGCGTGGCAAGATGCAGCTGATTTGACGTTTGCTCCAGGAGTTCCGGAGCAAGACATATGTGGCTTTATACGGCAAGCCAAGTGTCTCATTAATAGCCACTTTTACCTATTAATGAGATACTTGGCTTGCCGTATTGCTCGAGGACCCTCTAGCGGCTGCAAATGGTAGTGTTCAATATTTCCCATGCCAGAATGAATGAAATTGTCAGATCAAATATGGGGGAAAACATATATTAGTCGTTTTGGTGTATACGTCGCAGGACGTGCAAATTTATGCAAAAAGGTGCGACTTCTATGGCGAAAAATACGGTACTAGCATGTGAGCAGGAACAGCCCTAGACACATTAAAGGAGGTTAGCAGATTAAATCAGACCACTAAATATTAAAACGCATTCAGGGACACTGCAGTTTGGTTTCTAGAGACTTGAATTTAAGAGCAAAAGTTAATTATTAAAAAAAGGACAAAAGTTATGCTTATTTCCTTCATTAGCTTGAGCTGTAATCTGTAATCAGATACGTGCTTGCATTTGTTTTTGTTTTTATATATAAAAATATGTGAAACAAACATACAAAAACATAAAAAAGTTGCCAGTTGAGACCAGAATCTGAGTCTTCTTTGTTATAATACAATGGAAATTATTATTTTCTGTGTTATTGACCAAAACAAGACATTTCTAACGTCAACTTTATTAATGAGCAGACAGTTTTTGCTTTTTATTTTTATTTAAACACATGCACAGGTTTATTTACTGCCTACGTATGAATAAACCAAAGCATTCTGGAGTAAATGTTTCACTAAAGCTTTAACCAGTCCTGTTTAATGTTTGGACGACCTGCAGATGATGCACTTTAACAAAAAATTTACTGTTTTTTTGTTATTCTAATGAGTTATAGTCTAGATTTATTAAATTCCTAATTAAAATATTTTAAGATATTTATAATTTTATTGTTGCAAGTAATTATTCCAATTGCTGATGCCTGAAATTGCTTTATAGCCACACTGGGTATTCCTAATTGTTACATTTTTAAAGATTACAACTCTAGGATGTATTTATTATCCCTGAGGGAACAAACTACCACACAGCCACCAGTAACCAGTGGAGCTGTCACAGTTAATATCATCTAAACTAAAACACATCTGATTGGTGTATACTAAGTTACCTGAGAGTGTCGGGGAGACGTGAAGGCTCAGTTGCCGCCACCAGAGACAGAAATGAACGAAAAAGCTCCAGTTTACACAGAAGAGACCTGAAGACACAAGAAACACAAAGACAAATGTCTCCAGAGGTCAGAACGCAGTAAAACGTGACCTCCGTTCGATGACGGGAGTGTTTGGACTTCACCTGGATTTGGATGTTCCCAGCATCTTCTTGGTGACTCCATGTTTGAAGCCGTTCGCAGTGACATCTAGTGGCTGCTCTGCAACATTACACCAGCTGATGGCTGCAACATAAACACCTTTAATTTACTAAAAAAAAACACAGACTGACGTCACCCAACACCACAATAACCTCTGTAGATGATAGATTAAGATTCAAACTGTTCTTTCCTTCATTATTTTTTGTTTTCAGTTTTACATTTATTCTAACTGCTTACTTTTTACAGCACATCTAAATTGTTTGTTTTAGATCAATTTGTAGCATTTCAGTGTATTCTAAGTAAAGTTTCTTTCAGAGCATTGTGAACATACCTGCTCCGCAGGGGGAGACACGTCCCTGTCCGGCCCGGTGTTGAAGGTCGGTTTGGTTCTGGCTGAAAGGAAACTCCAGGCTGGACTGAAGCAGAACTGGGGAACATAAAGAGAAACCAGCAGGGAGGTCGGATACATCACAGCACCTACAAACAAACAACAACAAACAAACAAAAAAAAAATTAAAGAAACTCTTGCCATAGAAACCTCACCTGGACCATTCCTTCTGCGTCCTCTGTGTCTTCTGTCCTCTCAAATCCCAGGCCAGTTGTGAATCGATGCTTTAAAAACCACATTAATTGAATATGAAGCTAAAGTTCAGCTCCAAACAGAAGATAAACTTCAGCCAAACTGTTAAAATGACTTCAGGGTCAAATCTTTTCGAAGAATTAAAGTCGAAGCAGAACTCCTCACCTGCTGATCAAAGCCCGGTGCATCACCTCGTGGCTGTACTGACACTTGCCCACCACCACCGTGCTGAAATAAAGGGCCTCCTCCAGGTAATGGGAAAGCAGGGCGCCCTGGAAGCCCACCACCCCCCAGCGAGCCAGTTTGTCACTGCAGGACAGGGACAGAGTCGGCTCTCCTCGGCCCGGTTTCACACGGAGCACACCGGTGCTGTGGTACCCCACCCCTGGGTGCAGAGGGTCAGCTGGGCCGCCCGAGACACATTTGGCTCCCGTCCTGTGGATGTCGTGGACCTGCTCGGTCTGGTCTCTGGTGAACGCTGACGCAGCTTGTGAAGCGTCGTCGTGCGTTTTTGTCGGGTCGCTCTGTAAAGTCGGCTTCGTGCCGGCACGCTTCGTCTCGTCTGCTTCTTCTCCTTCAAAACGAGGCAGCTTCGGTTTTTCTCCTTCAGCCAGTTCTTCGGCTTTCCTTTTCACGCTCCCTCCTCCGTCAGCCTCCTCACAGCCGTGCACAGATGTGACAGGAGGGCGGGGCTTAGACTGGCTGTCAGTCATGGGAATGATGGAGGCATCACCACCTTAGGATTAAAAGAAATGGTTGCATCAGTTTCTGCTGAAATTATTTAGTTAAGTTTTACAATAAAACAATTAAATAATGAAATTTACCAGAAGGTAAAGAAGTGAATCTTTTTAATCATAAGAGGCATATCTGATCCTTTTCCCCATTAAATAAATGTTGCCCAAAGCCACAAAATGTACTTGAAACAAAATAAAGATAACACAACATTGTTAAATTAAAGCTCTGTAACAAAACATTGACAATTATTGGTAATTTACATTTAAATATTATACTAATAAAAATAATAAACTTAGGCCAGCATGTTGGACCTTTAATTGAGATTTGATCAAGTTGTTATTCCCAGGATTAGTACTTAATATTTGTCAGAATGATTGTGGGTTTTTAAAACTTTCTCAGTTGGATGTAATAAAAAGGCCATAACAAGGAGCCGGTGGAAATGCAACCACTCAAAAGGCAGATTACTGGTTGGATATAGACTCAATGCAAACACTGACGTATTGTCTCAAAACTTATTAAGAGATCTTGGGAAAAAAAAAAAGGACAAGTACATAAAACCATGATGGCTGTCAAAATATACAATTTTTTTGTTTATGTGTATCATCCAAGATAAAAATAACAACTAATTACTTCCAAGTCTGCTGTTCAATTAGTAATCAATGAGTGAAATGAGCAGAATTATGTTTTGTTGCCAACAATTATGAGTCATTTGTTTACAATCGTACATTGCACCCAACACCAATGCTCATGCTCAATAATCCAGAAACAAATCCAACAATGTTCAGTCAGGTCATCTGGACGGTTTCTTTTTTTTTTTCTGAGATGTTTCGTCCTTCATCCGAAGGACTTCTCCAGCCCTCTGAAATTTGTTCCAGTTTGTTTGTGCCTTTTTGGACTGAAGAAGTCCTTCGGATGAAGGACGAAACGTCTCAGCAAAAAAAAAAACTGTCCAGATGACCCGACTGAACATGGTTAGATTGCACCCACAAATGACTGAAGCAGAGACACCGGGTTGAAAGCAAAGTGAGAAAGATCTTCTCTTCTTCTGAAAAGAAATGCCGTCTAAAAGCTTGGAGGAAGAGTCGACAGAAGAAGAGTCATTACGAGGGACGAAATCGAGCGGGGGAAATTGTACAACTTTTTACAAAAAGCCTTATGAGTCCGAGTTATATTAACACCAAACAACTCTTTAATGATGATGATAAATTGTGTTATAAACATAATAATTCAACTTAAACATTGAAAATCACCAGCTGTTGTGATAACAGATGGTTGCTATGGCGGCGCACAGAAAGTGCAGCGGCTTCTCATGCTCCCAGGTTTAAGCCTTATTTGAATTCCTCCGAGGCTGTTTTAGGAACTGGTTCAGTGCTGGATTCGCGGCTCGGGTACAGCTCACCCGAGCTGATGGCCATCAGAGACAGTTCGGTTGAGTTCTGAAATCTGCACTCGGCAGTCAGCGGCTCCTGAGGACAACGGAATGGCGCAGCAGTATGGACAGCGAGGGCGAGGTGTTGGCCCAGCTAAAGGCTAGAAAAACCACTGATTCCCACTCTCTTTCTGGCCAATGTCTGCTCACTGGATAACAAAGTGGACTTGTTACATCTGAGGATGAGCGTTTCTACAGAGATGAAGAGCTGTGTGTTCGTGAAAGAAGGAAGCTGCAGGGAGCTGGACTTGGGAGCTGGGGGGGGGGGGGGGGGGGGGGGGGGGGATCACACGTTGACGCTCATCTGCTGTGAGTGGAGGTGAGAGGGGGGGGGGGGCTCTGTCCTGACAAGAAATGCACAAACTGTGTATTGTATGCTTAATGACAGAATTTTGATATAGATACAATTTGTGCTTGGTATTTTTGTGTTGCCAGTAATAAAAATATATATATTCCAGACTAATTCTTCATATTTATGCAAACTTGGATAAAAGCAGAATCCCACATTGTTTCCAGAGGCTGAAACAGACACCTTTCTTCCTACGTTTTTAGCTGAACAGAATAATTTTTTTCTTTCTAAAACCTGCCGCTGCCACACGGGAGACTAAAATTTCAAGCTGCAGGTGGCACGGAGGGGCAGTGGTTAGCGCAGTCACCTCACAACAAGCAGTTTGCAGGTTTGCTCCCCAGATGAGGCTTTCTGTGTGAAGTCTGAATGTTCTCTTTGCGTACTCCAGTTAAAAACATGCATGTTAAGTTAATTGATAATTATCCTGAGATGTAAGTTAGAGTGTGAATGATTGTTTCAACGTGGCCTTGCATTGGACATGTGACCTGTCCACTTTGTACCCCGCCCCTCGCACAGTGACCGCTGGAGATAAACACCAGCTCCCACAAGGACCAGGAAGCTGGTAAATTAAACAGATGCAGACTTTTGTAGAGCAAATAATGGGGATCATGCATAACAAAGACAAAACAAATGAAATCACTGGACTTACAGGGAGTGTGACTGGTAAAGAGGAGGAAGGAAACACCTGGCTGAAGCGTCCACCTCCCTCGTTGATCGGCTGAGCGGAACACCGAGCTGCCTCGACCACTAACGGCTCTGTGGAGCTCCTGGATCAGATACCTTCAAAATAAACACACAGAAACAACAATCCTAACTCAACTTGCCATGACGTCTGTAGGAGGAAGACCACAAAGATCCAGATACCTGACACAGCCCCGTCTGGCAATGACTTCAGCATGGCTGTCATTCAGTATATCCCCTAAAAGTCAGAGAATTGATACAACAAGCAAACAAAACTAATTTATGTTGCTTTTAATGAAAGAAAAACACTTTACAGATGACATTTTGCTTTAAAAACTGGTGATCTCCTCTTCCAACTGCACTAAAATAAGAGTTAAAACTGTGTTTTTCCTCCACAAACTCCAATTAATCAGAAAGAATATTTTGATAAGAGAGACTAAATATTCAACACCTAACAGACAAACAAACACTTAATAAAAGTGCATACCATTAGAACTCATAGATGCTTTCCCAATACATTTGGTCCCGGTTCCCATGGAAACAACCTCCTTCTCCACTGTAAATAACACATAGTTCATGCACATAACACTGTGGCTGCTTTTTAAAAGAAAATAGTAAAATAAAGCAGTCTAAATATAAAATGAATGAAAATGTGTTCAAACTTTTGGTACATTGTTTCAAAGAAATGTGAGGGGCAACTCAAGACTTGTGC